AGAGGCCACTGTCCCAGGCATGAAGGAACAGCTTAGAAAGCTTTTCATTAAAGAAACATAAGGATACATAGGACAAAGGGACAATTCTACAGGAACTGCCACGTGATAGATTTATCTCAACTTGTGTTAACCGTGGTTCTGGATCTTATCATCGTGCTCCCTCTCCCTGACCCTGGGTTAGGGCTGGTGCTTGGCTCTTATCTCTGGAGCGTTCGCTCAGTCAACTGCAGAGCCTGCCTTTGGCCATGGGTGTGCTCAGGGGGTCCAGATACCAGACTCTGCTAATGTCCCACATGTATTCCGGCTCCTGCTCCTGAATGGAGAGCGCTTTCTGAGGTGCTGGACACCCACACGGCAGGGGTCTAGAACCCATTCTCCCCCAGCACCTCCACCAGCTCACTACAACGCTGTCTTCTCTGGCTTCAAATGGGACTGTGCCAAAGCCACCATGGAACAGCAGCAGTGGGACAGTCCTCTCCCCCACTCTGTGGGTACATTGACACTGTTTCAGTGTCCCTGAGCCTCTGCCTGGTACCCACACAGACTCCCAGCTCAGTGGGCAGGGCTCCCCGCCACTCGGCCAGCAGGCCCTGCTGGGCGTCTTTAGGGGGCCTTCTCCCACTGTCTGCGGTGCCCCCCGCGCCTGACCCCACAGCAGTAGGGTGCTTTGACAAGCAGCTATCTTCCTGCTTTACAAACACCAGCTCAGGGAGCCTGCTGATGCTTCAGGAACACGGTGACTATTCTTAGACCCCATTGCTGACAGGAAATAGAAAGGAAAGGAAAGAGAGAGAGCTGTGCTCGCCACAGCTGTCACTATTCCTTGTCACCTGAACCTGGAATTCTGAGAGAGCCTGTCCTCATCCCTCTGCTTCAGCCTCGTTTAAGGGAAATGTCTCTCTGCTGGGCAATGATATGAAAGGGGGAAGGATTCAGACGTCTCATCAGCATCAGAAAGAATGCCAAGTGCTGCAGTCTGGGAAAAAAAGGTGCGCAGCCTGCTGGCTCTCATCCTGCAGCCCCTCGCTATCTCATGACCTCTGGGGAAAACAAAACTCTGGGGAAAACTAGTTTTCTTTTCCCCACATTTGACTGACTTGGCCAGATCATTTACAGACTCCCCAGCCCCGAGCATAATGGAAGTCCACGCGTCCACTGGCCGCAGCCCACACCCTTGGGGGAAAAGGACCCTGTCTATGTGGGCAGTCCCGCGTGCCAGACACTGAGTTCCAAAGGAAGCAAACACAAATCCTTTTCCTGCAGGACTAACAATACCACGGGATATGGGAAGGTACGTGACCTGGGAGAACAGGGCAAACCCTCCTGGCTTCAAATGCAGTGTGATCTGCGACAGGTCACTTCACCTCACTGAGCCTCAGCGTCCTCATCTTTCCAAGAGGAAGGCAGGATTCATTGCTGACAGCAGGCCCATTCAGATCTAAATTACTAAAATCTATTGAATTCACTCCTGAATTATAGAACTTCCTTCCTTGGATGGGGGAGGCGGGTTTAAATAGCTCTAATAGTTTGAGATATTTTACCCCCTGCCACGTTTCATCAGGTGGTGCGATGTGGATTCTGGGTCCACATTCCCATTTCTTTTCAAGCTGAATGATGGCTTTAGGTCATCTGTTAACAAAATGGGGTCAAAGTCCTCATTTCATTCGGCAAGCTTGCTAATTCTCCCAGGGAGCCACCCTACCGCCTCCTCTTCCGTGAGGAAAACGCGAGGCCCTGGAGTGATGAGGGCTGAATTTATACCGGGAAGATAACAGCCCTGTTTGTGTAAGTGGCTTAGAAGTGAATTAACCTCCCAAGCACGTGGATTGGCTCAACAACCTTGGCTGTTATCTGGGCTTCATTCTCAAATGCTAATGAACAGCTTTTCCTGACACTGGAAATAAGCAAAAATGTTAGTTTCTCATGACTTGCCTCCAAAGAAAGATTGCACAGGATCAAGTCTTGAGGCATCTCACTGTTTAGATGGTGACTTTCACAAGGACAATGTGGGCTGTGGCATTCTTACCACCCTTGGGGGCCCAGGACTGGACTCAGCAAGAGCTGATGATGGGACATTTGAGCTCTTGCTAAATGATGTATGTCCCCGGTCAGGGGACTAAAGATCCAGGTTAACCGCTCACACCGGCCATCTCATCAGTCTGGAGACTCGGCTTCCCCATTTGTGAGATGAAGGGTGGTTAGGATGATCTCTGGCACCTTCTAATTGTGTGACTCTTACTCATTTTCTCCCTGAGGATGTGGTCCTCTGTGCTTAGATT